TCTCTCTCACACACACACACACACACACACACACACACACACACACACACGTTTTCAGGCCTCCTGTGGGGGTGTCACTGCGGCCTCCTCACCCCTACTCAGATCCTAAAACAGCAACAACTATTCATGCCCCTGGAGCTTGGCAGAGGAGCCATCTGTGTTTTCCTGCAGCCTGCTCTCTCCCTGGACAGACAGGCATTTATCGGCTTCCCTGTGGGACACCAGCTCATTACCAGCTGCTAATGAGTTCAGGCCTCATGGTGATGTGTTATCTCCTTACTGGAAATCGCTCAGAACAGGTGCAGAGACGTGTCCCTGTGCAGTGCACACACGAGGCCAGCGTGGCTACGCCCTAGCGGTCCCCAGCCTTCCCTGCCCCATGTCCTCTCGCCAGCTTCTCCCAGACCCCGTCGCACTGCCTTGGAAACGTCCCCACAATGGGGTGGAAAACAGCATCGCACACAAACTTTCATCTGGCCATGGCCCATAGTAATAAAATGTATTTTATGTCATGACTCAATGAATACACACTTAACCAAAATAAGAATTTCACTAAGTAACGCAATGCACTTAAGTATTTTCTGTTCTCTCCTATCTCTTTCTTTCTTGTTTTAAATGCTGGTCATCACCCACTAGACTGATTTCACAGTCACGAAAGGGGTTGGCTTGAGGTTCACACTGCCGATTTAGTCCACACAACTTCTTGCAGCCCCAATTTGCCAATGAAAACACTGAGGCGCAAAGAGGGACAGAGATGTTCCCAAAGTCTCGCTGTAAGTGCCTGACCAAATCCAGATTAGGAAAGACTTTCTGCCTTCCTGCCCCAGGGCCTTTGCCTGAGCGCCACAGAAGGAAAGAGCGAGTCGTTCCGAGTCAGGAGGGGGAGGAGAGGAGCGTGAGCTGCCCAAGCCCAGGGCCGAAGAGGGACTGAGCTGGGTCCCTGGCGTTTCCTGTTGACACCTGGTCATCCAGAGAAGTTGGCTTTAAATACAGACGTTGGGAAAAGAGGGGCCTGGATCCAAGCCCCAACTTGGCTACTAACAAGCCACTTTCCCTTTCCGTGCCTCAGTCTTCTCATCTGCAAAATGGGAGGTTGGCCCAGGTGCCCCTCAGGTCCCTTCCAAGCTCTGACATTCTCCGACCGAAAGTGGCTGATGGAAGACATCCCCTTACGTCTTCTTCCTCGTCCTTCAGTTGGTGCATCCTTGCGGGCAACCTCCTCTCTCCCCTTGGCTCCCCCCACCTGGCATGTATATTTAAAAGGAGTAAACTGTGGGGCCGAGCCCATGGTGCACTCGGGAGAGTGCGGCGCTTGGAGCGCAGCAGCGCTCCCGCTGCAGGTTCGGATCCTATATAGGGATGAGCGGTGCGCTCACAGCGCTCACTGGCTGAGCGCGGTGCGGCTGGTCTAAAAAAAAAAAAAAAAAAGGGAGTAAACTGTGTCTGAGAGCAGGACTTACTCTAGTGACAGGGCAGAGTCAAGGGATATGGGTTCTATCCTGCCCCTGCCACTCCCTCACAGATGACCTCGGGGGCATCGCTTCCCTGGGCCTCAGTTTCCCTATCTGAAGAGTGACATTGTTGGGCTGTCTGACATTCGCAAGTGCAGGACACAGCAGGGTTGTAGGTGACGCTACTTGAAGGTATTAAAGCTCAAACCTGTTGATTCAGCGCCTCCAGTGGGGTGGGGATGGACACAGGACCCAAGGAGACCAGCGGGTATGGTTTTTAATTTATTTGATTTTTAGGATAATTTATACACATGGAGCCAAGGTCAAAAGGTTCAAAGCACAGACAGTGTGAAGTAGCCCCTCCTGCCACCTCTTGCCCCACAGTTCCCATCTCAGAGGAGCCACTGTCACTGGTTTTTGGTGGGACCTTCAGGAAGTGTCTGTGCCTATGGTGGGTGGGTTTTTGTCAAGCTCTCCCAGGCTTTGTCCTCCTGGGCTCATCCCATTATACAGAAGGTTTTGTCCCCTGCCTTGAATCTCATGGGTGGACTCTGCCTGCTGCCTCCAGCCTGGTGAGGCCCAGCCAGAGGGACAACCTCACCCAGAGCACATCGAGGGTCCTACAGACATGTCCAGATCCGTTTTGTAACTGCAGGAAGACAATGTCCACATCCCTTGGTTTCCCCAGCTGTCAAGGGTGTGAATCTCCATCCTGCCTTCCTCTCTGGAGAAGACCAAAGGCCAGAACAGATAAAAACATACTTGCCCAAACAGCCCACCATAAGGCATCACCACACGTGCGTTTTCCAAGGCTGGCTGAAGCCAGAGCCATCAGGACAGCAATGGTCTGGGATTCACTGGATTATCCAGGGCGTCTGGAGCCCTTGGGGTCACAGATGACGGCTGCCACCAGAAACAACAGATGTTTAAAAGCCTTTATTTAATGAAGACAGGAAGCGCCCATTTCCTGGCTGTTCTTCCTCAGTGAGAAATATCTAGGATAATTTTAGCGAAAGATGCCTTTTTTTCCCCAAGTGTATCTATTTATTTTCAATTTAACAGCGGTTTTATTTATGTGAAAGGCATATTCCAACAGATCAGTGCCTCTCGGCTCTAGTCTTAGCATCCCTGGGTTCTCAGTGCCCAGAACAGCTGGACGTCTAGAGCGGCTGTGGAGCAAGCGAGCGAGCGAGCAGGAAGGGACGTGCTGAGAGCAGTTTAAGGAACTCGCCTTAAATCAGGGATGGCTTCATGACAGAGAGCGTTTCCCACGTGAGAGGGAAAGGCTGGACACCTGGAGGTTAAGGGAGGGATGGCCTCCAGGCAGAGGGTTCTGCATGGGCAGGAGACGTGGAGGGATGCTCAGTGTTTGGAGGCCAGCGAGCACCCCTGTTGCGTTTATGAGAGAAAAGGCTAAAAAGGGAGCTTGGAGCCAAATTGTGAAGAGTCTGCATGTCCCCATCCTGTGCTTGGCACCGTCTGTGCTTTGTCACAGGATCCTCCCAGCCCGCTGAAGGGTGGGTACTATTGTCCCCATTTTACAGATGAGGAAACCAGGGCTCGAGTGGGACCCCAGGGCAAAGCCCAGCCCAGCCTTTTGACCCCTGAGCCCTGCCTGTCTCCCCGAGGCACAGAGGAAAGAGTAGGGTCCATAAAAATTAGCCTTCTTTTTCTCACCTGCTGGCTTATCAGAGAGACACAGGAGGGTGGCCAATTTGGGCTCCATGAGACAGCCTTAAAAGCGGGAGTCTTTCTAAAGCACAGCACCATCACCTCATTCTGTGTTCAGGACTTCTCATGGCTCCCAGTGCCTGAAGGAGCAAGTCCCTGTTCCAGCACCTTCCAGCCACAGGCCCTTCTCCAGCTTCATGGCCACCAGCTCTCGCCCCTCAGCCTCAGCCCCTCCAGATCACCTGCAGCGTGACCCCCTGCCTGCTCACACCTGAGGCCTTCTCTGCCTGCATCCCTCATGGACGGTTCTGTGCAGCCAGGACCATTTCGTGTTCATCTGCGCAGCCCCAGCACAGTGCCAGGCACTAGAGCCTCAGCTGGTATTGGCTAAATGGAACCAGCTCAAGCCTCCCCTCCTCCAGCAAGCTCTCTGATTTCTCCTCCGCACCCACTTCCTTCTGAAGTCATAGCACCTCCTCTGTGCTCCCAGAGCCTTCTGTACCAAAGACCCTGCCTCAACAGAGTACAGGTCTGTCACAGAGCAACGCTTTGTTATCTGAAAAAAGAAAGGTTACGTGAGAGAATAAGCTAGATTTGTTCCACTGTGGAGCAGCTGGCCCTTGGGGGGTGAGCACCCCATCATCAGAGGTGTGCAGCAGAGGCTAGCTGACCATAGGTCGGGGATGCCTGGGAGCAGATCTAGGCGATGAGCACAGGGTCAGAGTCAATGACTCCAAGTTCCTTCCAACTCCAAGACCTGAAGTGTCTTTGAAACAAACATAACCTAAATTCCTCCCTTCAGAGCCAGATCAGGTGTGCATTCCCCAAAGAACATCAGCTCTTTCCTGTCTCCTGGGGCAGGGGGTAGCAGGGGGCTGCAGCCCAAGTTACAGCCATTGTGAGGACATCAATAAATTATGTAAACAGGATCTTGGACATTCCACATCCCCACTCCCTCTGGCTCCGTGAAAAAGAGGTCACATTTGCTTATGTGAGCAGCCACCATGGCACGAGGCACAGGCCTTGCTCACATGGGCCCTGAACCTTGAGCAGGCATGGGAGGCTCCCCTCCAGACCCTGGAAACAAACTCCGGCGGAGGCCCACGGTCAGCTCCCCCTGCTCTAACCCTTCAGCGGCAGAGAGGTTGCTGCCCACCGCCGCAGCTGGGCAGGCCTCCTCACCAGGACCCACCCCTCCAAGGCAGTTGTCCCTGCTCCACCAGGCAGGGAGAGTGACAGCACCGGCTGACACTTAGGCAGGTCACTGGTGGCCAGGGTAGGGGAAAGATGGAAGGAGGCCAAGGCCAGAGACAGGGAGACCGGGGGGGCTAGGCAGTGACCCCAGCTTGAGACGAGGACCGAGGTGACTGGAGGTACGGGAGCGGGTGTGGGTGGCGGTGGACACAGCGCGATGTTGTCAAGGCTGATCCTTGTTCTTACCATTCCTGAGGGCAGAGAAGGGAGCAGAAGGCAGGGGGTGCCACAGTCAGGGTTTGGACCAACTCTTTGCTTCTAACTCTTCATACTAGTTTGCTAAGGCTGCCCAAACAAAGTCCCACAGACAGAGTGGACTCACTCAGAAATCCCTGACCTCGCAGTTCTGGAGGCTGGACGTCGGTATGAGATCTGGGTGTCGGCAGGGCTGGTTCCTTCGGAGGCTGCGAGGCAGCATCTGTTCCAGGCCTCCCTCCTAGCTTCTGGTGTTTGCTGGCGATCTCTGGCATTGCATGGAGTGTAGACGCTTCACCCCGATCTCTCCCTTCGTCCTCACGTGGCGTCTCCTCATATGCACATCTTTGTGTCCAAAATTCCTCTCCTTATGAGGACACCAGTCATATTGTATTAGACACCTTGATGACCTCATTTTAACTAGATTGCCCCCATAAAGGCCCTGTCTCCAAGTAAGGTCACATTCACAGCGACTGAGGATTAGGACTTCAGTGTATCTTTTTGGAGGGACACAATTTAACCATAGCGGTCTTCAAGCTGTCTCAGCAGTGGCTTGGCAGGGCAGGCACGGGAGTGAGCTTGCGGTCCCCACGGTGCATTAGAGGAGTGGGGAGCCGGACTCAGTGCTTCCAGGCCTGAGATTCTCTTTGGTCTTCCCGCACAACTGGATATTCTGCCCTTGACATGTTCTCTCCCCTTCAAAGACGTTTCTCAGCAAATACAGCGACATGATTTTATTACTTGTCACTGGTCACTGCCCACGGGTAAGAATCACTGCTTCAGTTGATCTGTTGTGTACAAAGGGCCACAGAAGCTCCAGGCTACTTTTTGCATCCTATTTACAGAGCAAATCCATGGCTCTGCACAGGGACGGCTACTGGGGATCTGGGGGTGGTGTGTGCTGCCTTTTGATTGGCTAGGTCTCTTCTGGTCATTACAGTCAAAGAGGGCAGGACACAATCTTTCCTGTTGTAGCAAAATGGCATATTTTACATGAAGATAATTATTTATATTTATTCTAAGCCAGTGTCACATTCTGTAAATAAAATGTCCCCCCAAGAAACTGGAAATACACAGACTTACCGTCGAGTTTGCAGGAGCTGTGCACGTGGGTGGAGCAGGGACAGTCCTGTGCATAGTGGAGTGCTCTGCACTCTGGCCCGAGGCCGCATCTGAGGGGCTGGTTATGGGGGCCTTTCTCAAGGTGGACTCTCATGGTTGAGAGGTGGTGGCTGCCTGGGACTCTGCTGAGAAGAATTCTGAGAGCACATCAGGGTTTACTCAGAGGATGCTGTGATAGATTAACAATGCCTGCCATGGGCACAGGAAGGGTGGCAGTGGCCCATGTGCCATCAGAATCTTGTGGTCATCTAGTTTCCTTTCAGTGGATCTACCTGTGAGCAGGGCTCACTCTGGAGTCCATGAGGGCAGGGAGGGCCTGCCCAAGGTGGTGCCCTTCCCCATGATTCCTGCCCTCCTGCCCAGGTCCCAGAAGCCATCCGAAAGTGCCAGCGGGCAGGCATCACGGTCCGCATGGTCACCGGGGACAATATCAACACAGCCCGGGCCATCGCCATCAAGTGTGGCATCATCCACCCTGGGGAGGACTTCCTGTGCCTCGAGGGCAAAGAGTTCAACAGGAGGATCCGGAATGAGAAGGGAGAGGTACGTGGCCCAGGGTCACGGGTCCTCAGGGGGTCGAGCTCAAATTGGGGGCTGGGAGGCACAGGTGCTGCATGATTGTACAGGAGCCAGCCAGTTTGCTGCTGAGAGCCCAGTGACTCTGGGCGGGCGAGTTCCCTCCCTTCTCTGGGCCTCAGTTTCTCTCCCGGATCCCACCGACCCACCCCCTCCCCCATCCCTCTCCAGATTGAGCAGGAGCGAATCGACAAGATCTGGCCCAAGCTGCGGGTGCTGGCTCGCTCCTCCCCCACGGACAAGCATACCCTGGTCAAAGGTAAGACTCGGGTGGGCTCGGGCAATGCTGAGGCCCAGCGCGACGCTGGAAACCAGCCCTTCTCTCCTGACACTTGCGGCTTCTTCCCAGGAGGGAAGAGACCCGCCTGGGATTGTCCACACGTGGCTCTTATGTGATTCCCTTTAAAGCCCTGGGAGGCCTGCTAAGGGCCAGAAGGAGATGGGAGGTTGAGTCTTCGCTCTGAGCCTCAGCTCCTCTAGGAAGCAGTGGGCCTATCCGGAGTCTCAGACTCATGCTCGAGGGCAGAGTGGGGCCCACAGGTGTGTTTGCTTGGCTGGTATGGCACCTTTTTTGTGTTGCACTTGGATGACTTGATACGACCTTGCTCTCTCTCGTTTGACACAGTCTTCACCACTCCTCAGGGTCCTACACTCAGCCTTCCTCATTTGTTCTCAGTATGGCCCCAGAGCTTATGAGTTTGAGGACCTTGGTCTGCCTTGTCTCCAAGGCCCCCCCAAACAACGTCTGTGATCAGGACCCCAGGGACGGGCTATCCTGGGAATAGCAACCTGAGAGAGGAGGCCAAAAGCCTCATCCTTCACCCTCCCCGCCTCCCTCTGGAGAGAGGGCACACCACTTGCCAAGCCCGAGGGGCCGGGTACTGGGCGCTTCCGGAGTCACATAGCCCTGGTTCAAGTCCTGGCTGCCACTGGCCTGCTCTGTGGCCTTGGGCAAGTCTCTCCCCTCTGGGACTCAATTTCCCCATCTGTAAAATGGCCATGGGGGGCAGGTTTCTGGCTGAGATCATCCCTAGGGTGTCTCAGATGCCTGTCTCAAAGGTGCTGTCTAAGGACATTAACAGAGGTAGATCTGGCCTGGGGACAGAAATATGGAACCCCAGAACCACGGATACCTGAGCAGAAGGCCCCCCAACCCATCCCTGTTTCTTATTCATTCATTCATTCACTCACTCATTCACTCATACTGAGGGCCTACTGTGTGCCAGTCCCTACTCTAGGCAGACATAGTCCTTCTGCAGCCATGCAGCGGACATTAAATAGGTGGTGTCCGTACACAGAGCAAAAGGCTGCACTGGTGGCAGAGAAAGTTGTCCTGGGGCCTGCTGCTGGCCTCTAACTTGGGCTGGGGAGGGTGTCAGGTCACAGGCCATTGAAGGCGGGCTAAGGATCTGTATTTCAGGCAGAGCAGGGAACTGCACTGTGAAGGCCCAGAGACAAAAGAGCCCCAGACACTTTCAAGGAGTAGAAGGAAGTTCAGTTGGCTAGGCTGGGACCTCAGGACATCGGGAAACTAGAGGAAAACTAGAGGAAGAGACAGGAGAAGGCGGGCTGGCATCAGATCCTACAAGGCTGTGAACACCTGGCCAGTAGACTGTGCAGTGACCCAGGGTCCAGCATGGGAGGGCCTGGAGGGGAGAAGTGTTGTTCTAGAAAGCTCCCCCTACTGTGTGGGGACCGGCCTGGAAGCAGAGGGCCCAGGACCATTCAGCTTGAGAGATGCCGCCTGCACGGTAGCAACAGAACAAGTAGAGCTGGCAGCCAGTGGGTCTGAGAAATGTTGGGTGGTAGCAGGGCCCAGCCTGGGCAATTGTCTGTGTCGTGGCAGGGGGAGGGGGAGGAGGGTCTGCACCTGTAGAGAGGCTGCTGTGTGCTTGTGTGCCCCGTGGCTTGTGAGCGCGTGGCTGGGTGTCAGGAGGCACAGCAGAGGGCCTGGCTGAGGCGGGGGCCTCTGACATCTGAGTGGACCCGTCCATCCGAAGGCAGCTGGACATCCAGGCAGGGGAGAGAGCGGGCTGAGAGCGAGACCCGGGTATGTGTGCGAATGAGGAGAGCCAAGAACCTCCGAACCAGGAGCTGCTACCCAGGTGATGGCCAAGGCTGAGGACTGTCAGAGGACCAGGGGGAGGTGGCCAGAGCAGGAAGACAAAGACCAGGAAGACAAGGAAGGAAACCTGGGCAGAAGGAAGGTGCAGCCCATAGTGGGAAGGGCTGAGAGGTCCAGAGGGGCAGGACAGAGGTGTGACCATAGGAGGTGGCCACAGGAGGGCCGCTGGTGACACTGGGCCACACCAGGACTGGAGGTGAAGGAAGGGGCTGGGGGAGGTGTCCTCCCGGCTCTCCACTCTGCTGGGAGAAGGAGGAGGGCTGTGACGGCTGGGGCCAGCCCAGGGAGCCAGCGAAGGAAGGCTGAGGGACAGACAGAGGCAAAGACCTCAAATGCCGAGTGTGCGAGTCTGGAGCGTCTGAGCCCAGGACGGTTCCTGCAACTCACGGCACTGGAGCTGGGCCTTGAAGAGGGTGGGCTGGGGGACCGGCAGGGGGTACAGAGCCCCAAGTCAGGGGACTCATCCCCTCATTCCACGGTAGCTGCTTCTTCCAGGCACAAGACAGGAAGGCACACACGTGGGGCGGCAGAAGGAATTACAGTCATCTGACTGGGGGCGGGCAGGGGTCTTCAGGGGTTCAGAAAGGCCTGCTGGGGAAAGTCGCATCAGAGCTGAAACTACAGGTTAGGGTTAGGGTTAGGGTTAGGGTTAGGGTGAGAGTCACCTGGCCAAGGCACAACCTGTGCAGAGATGGGGCAGCGGAAGCCAGCTTTGTGGGACTACAAGCACGGGGGGGAGGGGGCAGCCAGGGTGAGAGAAGAGGTCAGAGCGTGGGTGGGAGGTCTCAGAGGACCCCACAGGCAGAGCTGAGAGCGTGGATCTGTCCTGAGCCCAAGCAGGGGAGCAGGAGAACGACTTTCCCAGGGGGGCAGGGAATGCACCAGACACAGGTGTTACAGAGAGCTCTGGGGCTGTGGGAGGAAGGGGCAGAGTTAGTGAGAGAGGACGTGGAGACGCTAGTGACAGAGGGGAAGGGGACAAAGTGAACAGGAAGGATTTCAGTGGGACTTTAGAGCTGGAACTGATTGGCAGACTTTGGTGATACATTTGATGTGCAGAATGAAAGAGGGACAGGTCAAGGTTGACACCCAAGTTTCTGTCCTGCCCACAGACATCTCTGCTTGGGACCACCATGAGTGACAAGTCCCACAAACTCTACAGGTCCCTGATGATGACATCTTTCACTCACCCTTTTTATCTGTTCTTTCTGTTACTTGCTGAATATTGTATTGAGGACGAATGTCTGGAGAGAGGTCAAGGCCAGAACAACGAGGCAGGGGCAGTGGCGCAGCCACGGCTCCCTGGGGCATGACTGGACTCCCAGGGAGAAGGTGCTGGAGAAGCGGATGGCGGGAGGCAAAGCCCTGGGCGCCCTGGAGAGGCGGAGGCACCCCTGAGTACAGGCAGAGGGGACAGTGTTTGTGGTTAGGGTGGCCAGTGCGTGGCTGAGAGCTGCAGAGAGCAGAGAGAGTGCTGGAGAGGTGAGCAGGCTCAGGCCATGGGGGGCCACAGGCAGCACTGGGCTAATAAGGTGCCACTGTCTCCTGCAGGTGCTGGCAGCTGTGGGCGAACCTGGGATGGGGGGAGCCGCTAGGGGAGAGGTGGCTGGGCAGGGGCCAGAGGGGGCCGGTGCCCAGCGCAAGGCCCTCCCAAGGCTCGGGGCTGGCTCAGGGCCCTGAGCACACTCCCGCTTCCTCAGGCATCATCGACAGCACACACACTGAGCAGCGGCAGGTGGTGGCTGTGACAGGGGATGGGACCAACGACGGGCCTGCGCTCAAGAAGGCTGACGTGGGCTTCGCCATGGTAGGGGCGGCTCTCAGGGGCCTGGGGTGGTGTCAGGCAGGAGCTCATAGCGGGGATGGTGGGGCTTGGACTACACTACCTTGAACTGGCTGTATGGGACCCCAGTTCACACTCAGCCCACCTCGTGTGTGCCCAGCGCTCAGGTTCAGCCTGGCCCCTGAGGTCCTCCTGGAAGGGTGTGGGGAGGCTCCTTGCTCGGGGAGAGCTTTGTGACGACAGCACTTGCAGGTCAGGAAGGAGGGGAGCAGAGAGGGGAAGGAGCTGGGGCCAGGCTTCCTAAGGGCAGGGGCTTGGCATCAGGGGCTGGTCTGGGAGGAGCATGAAGAGAGGGTTGTGTGTGTGTGCATGTGTCCCTGTGTGGTCTGGCTGTGCTGGTCCCACTGGGTGTGTGCACAGTGGGGAAGGAAGGGCTGTAGGGGTGAGGACGTCAGTGCCAAAGCTGCCCGCCTTCCCCAGCCACCAACCCAAGCTCCTATTCCTTTCCCCACAGGGCATTGCAGGTACCGATGTGGCCAAGGAGGCCTCGGACATCATCCTGACAGATGACAATTTCAGCAGCATCGTCAAGGCAGTGATGTGGGGCCGCAATGTCTATGACAGCATCTCCAAGTTCTTACAGTTCCAGCTGACAGTCAATGTGGTGGCCGTGATCGTGGCCTTCACGGGCGCCTGCATCACGCAGGTGGGTCCTCAGAGGATATACCAAAGCCAGAGCATCCCACTTCTGCATCAAACACCTGGGGACAGGACACCCATCCGTGGAGCACTGGGGACAGGGCACCCATCCACGGAGTACCTGCGGAGGGTCAGGAACTGCATCCCAGAGCTCAGGTGCACACACCAGCCCCAGGGGAGTCAAGGAAATGAGGCCCAGAGAGGTGGTATGACCTGCCCAAGGTCACCCAGCCAATAGATGTCAGACCTCATACCCCAGTCCAGAACCTGGCTCCAGGAGGTAGGTGAGGAGATCCTCGAGGGAAGGCAGGGCCCCTGGACTCCAAAAGGCAGGCCCCAAGGGGGATCAGGTGTCCATCTGAGGACAAAAGGCCAGCAGGGCCCTGGGGGCCTTTGTTCTGGAGTTGAGTGTGTCTGGAGAGGTGGGGTAGAGGTGGCAAGGGGGAGTCAGGGGTTCTGTCTCACTGGGGGAGGCAGGAAGAGTCTGTCCAGATCACCACTTCTGGGTCTCGAGCAGCGCATGCATGAGCCCACAGATCTGATGGTGGGCAGGCCCCGGATTTCTGCAGCTGAACTGCTGCTCACCCCAGCCCCATGAGGTGGGGACTGTGATGATCCCCATTTTACAGAGGCAGAAACTGAGGCTGATAGGAGGGAATGGCCAGGCACCTGCCGTTGCTCCCGCAGCCTCCTGGTACCCCAGCTGGCGTGCCCCTCTCCATAGGGACTGGCCAGCCTAGCCTGAATTGGATGGTTGGGCTCTCTTATCCCTGAGAGATCCCTGAGCTCTGACCCCTCCCACTAGCTACCTGGGCAGACAAGTCCCTGAGAACACTGCCCCCTCGGTAGCAGCCTGAGCCAAGGGGACACACATGGCAGCTCCCGCCACCCCAGCCTTGAGACCTCGAGAATCAGAGCCCTGGGGAGGGGTGCGGGGTTCCCGACTGCCCGGAAGGACCCTTTCTCCTGGTCTGTGGACCAGAAGCTCCCTCTAGTGGCAGCTTGGGGGACACTCCTTGGCTTCTTGGAGACCAACTGATGCCAGATGGAGAAACTGAGGTTTGGAGATGACTATCAGTTTGCCTGAGGTCTTCGACTGCATTGGTGGCAAGGCCATGCAGGCCGTGGTGGGAAGACAGGTGGACTTGACACTGAGGTACAGAGCCCAGGGCATGGGGAGTATGGCTGAGCCAGGGCAGATGTGGGAGAGGTGGCCAGGAGGGGGGCTGTGAGGTGAGTGAGTGTGTGGGTGCAGGCAGAGTGGGCCTCAGGACCGCACTGAGAGGGACAGAGGTGAGGGGAGCAGCCAGTTTGGGCGGTTGAGTTTACAGGGCCTATGGGCTTCCTGCAGGGGCTGTTCCACGGGCCACCAGATGGATGAGGCTAAGCCACAGGGAGAAGGCTGGGCTGGAGAGAAGCCATGTGGGGGAGAGGTGGGTACCTGCAGCCAGGGGACAGGTGTGGAGAGGACAGCGGATCCGAGGAAGGGCCACAGGAACACAGATTTACAAGGAGCAGGGGAGAAGCCCTCAGAGAGGGAAGACGACAACCAGGAGAGCAGGTCGGCAGCACAAAGGGGAGGCAGTGGCCAAACGCAGTGAGATGAGGCTGGAGAGCGGGTCCCTCGGTTTGTGACACAGAAGTCGCAGGTGACCTTGGAAGAAAGCATTTTGGGGGCATAGAGGGGCCTCAGTCTGGCTGTCGTGGATAAGGCATGTGAGGGTGTGAGGAAGGAGGGGAACAACTGGATTTTGTTCCTTTGGCTAGTGTAGACCATGTAGTGTGATTGTGCACAGAGCAATATGAATAGCGCGGTCCCCATCTCAGCCAAAGAGGGAGGTCTGGAAGGATCTGCACCAGAATGTGGGTGGTGGTGACCTGTAAGTGCTGTAAGTGGGTGAGATCCTTGATGAGTTTTAGCTTCTGCTAATCCTTTCCAAAATTTCCTACCATGAAAATGTATTTTTGGAATCATAGATACACACAGTAATTTTTTTTTCCTTTTTTGTCTTTTTTACTGACCGGCAACGGAATCGCAACCCTCGGTGTTGCGCCCGCACCGCGCTCAGCCAGTGAGCGGGAACCGGTCTCCACATGGGATCTGAACCCTTGGCGGGAGCGCTGCTGCGCTCGCAAGCGGCGCACTCTCCAGTGCGCCACCGGGCCGGCCCACACACAGTAATTTTTTAAGGCAAGGTGGGATGATAAGAGTTGAGGAGAATTTGGGGGGCAAGGGTCATGGGCATTGTTTGTAGGACAGGAGGGACTTGAGCCACTGATAGTTGAGGGGGATGAGGTAGCAGAGAGGGTTCAGGGAAAGGTGAAGGACACAGGTGACTGAGCCAGAGATGTTGGGGGAGGCCTTGCCCTCAGCCAAGAGAGACCCATCCACAGGGGCTGGAGGGGCGGCAAGAATATGGCTGGGATGCAGCTACATTTACCAGAAGACGGGGAGCTGTGGCCATGGAGCCTGGGTCCTCTATTTTCTCCGGGGGGAAAGACAGGTCTGAGGTGGGTGGATGCATGCTGTTCTCCAGAGAAGGCTCCAGAGAACCTGCTCCATGCCTGCGCAGGAACCCCGGGGCAGGTCAGCTCGAGGCCCTCGCAGCAGGAACCTGCCGCGACCCCACGGTGAGCCCCGCCCAGCACTTGATAGCAGCAGGTGGGGCCGGTTCCCATGACAGCCTCTCCCGGGCGCTGTCCCCAGGACTCGCCTCTGAAGGCCGTGCAGATGCTCTGGGTGAACCTCATCATGGACACGTTTGCCTCGCTGGCGCTGGCCACCGAGCCACCCACTGAGACCCTGCTCCTGAGGAAGCCATACGGCCGCAACAAGCCCCTCATCTCGCGGACCATGATGAAGAACATCTTGGGCCACGCTGTCTACCAGCTCACGCTCATCTTCACCCTGCTCTTTGTTGGTGAGTCCCCCGCCCCACCCACACCCCTCTGTGGCAGGATCACAGTGTTATGTCCCATCCGCCTTCCTGCTTTGCTGATGGGGAAATTGAGACCCAGAAAGATAAAGTAAGCTACTCAAGGTCACACAGCAACTGGCCGACCCCAAAACCAGGGCCTTCCCCATGACAGCTCCTGGCACTGAGTACACGCCAGGCAAGGCGGCGTCCAGGCGCCGATGGACGCACCTCACGTCAGCCCCGCAGGCACTGAGGCTCTGCGGGGAAGTGGCTCGCCCCTTCCCTGACCCACTCCAGACTGGCTTGCCCGTGGAGGGAATCCTCACCGACACCCTCTCGGGGAAGCGGCACAGGTGCCTGCGTAACCGCCAACCGTTCTCACGACGCTTTCATCCAGGCTGCCTGCTTCAGTCTCCCAACCACTCCATGAGGCGAGCACCTCTGCCCCCACCCCACATTATACATGAGGGCCCCGAGGCTCAGAGAGGTAAGGGGACTTGCCCGAGGGCACACAGCCAGGCTGAGGAAAAGCCTGAGCGGAGAACCAAGTCTGCCTGCGTCTAAGACTGGCCTGGTTTCCATGGATACTTCAGAGATGATCCTGGCGAAGCCTACCCCCGGGTCACGGATGGGTAACAGAGGCCCAGAGAGGGGAAGGGGCTGGCCCGCGGTCACACAGCAAGTCGGGGCCAGTGCGGCGTCCCCAGCCTGGGGCAGCTCCTTCCACAAGAGCCTCCTGGAGCTGGGCTTCCAACGCCAATGAGCACTTGCCCTCAAAGCCCAGGGTACAGATGAAAGCGGGGTGTGGATCCCGTTCCTCAAAGGGCAGTCGTCTTTTTTTTTTTGAAGGTAACATGTTATTGGGACACGTTACGGTTGTAAAAATTATCATGAAAAGCCTTAGAGGAAGCCCCATGAAAGCAAAACCTGGAGAGATGGGGAGAGAACGGAGGGGTCGGGGAGAGGAGGCAGGGCTGCGGGGCTGCTCACTGGCTGACCCGCCCGGGCGCCTGCCTACTCTGGGTGGCCTTGGGCTCGGCTAGACCTCACACCGGAGAACCCCACAAGCCCTTCTGGCACCAGTTTACACAGCTTTGCAAAAGGATCCAGGAAAGCATCAGATATGCCATCTACAGGTGTCCACACAGCAGTCTGGGGGCTACTCCCCACCCCCCGTGACAGCTCAGGTGTGAAAGAATGAAGCCACATAGGGGGGTCTGGAGCCTGCCTGGCCTGAAAACCCCAAGCACCATATGGGAATGGGTATCTCTTGTAACAGTCCCCTGAGCTTCCAGAGGTCTCAGCAAGGGACATGCTCAGTTACAAGCAGCAGCACTTCCAGGAAAGCCCAAAGCTACAGCCTCGCACAGGTGTTCCTGTCCTCCCAGAGCAGATGAATTTGCCAATCCAGGGTCACTTTTTATCAGCAGTGTCACCTGGTAACACAGCTGGCATTTCACCTTTATCCCACAGAGAAAGTGGAAGACAGTCCCCCAAGGTCTTCCTCCCCTCAAGGAGAAAGGGTTTGTAACTGTTCACTTGTGCTCACCGACCAGCCAGCAGCACGCAGGCCCCCACCCTGTGTCCAGGCATGTGTCCTGTCTGCTGACTCACCCACCGCGAAGGGCCAGGGTCTCCCCTGCCACCACCCTCAGCCCAGCCCGCACCCTTTCGGCTTGGCAGGCGAGAAGATGTTCCAGATCGACAGCGGGAGGAACGCGCCCCTGCACTCGCCGCCCTCGGAGCACTACACCATCATCTTCAACACATTTGTCATGATGCAGCTCTTCAATGAGATCAACGCCCGCAAGATCCACGGCGAGCGCAACGTCTTCGACGGCATCTTCCGGAACCCCATCTTCTGCACCATCGTGCTGGGCACCTTTGCCATCCAGGTAGCCAGCCCCCCACCCTGGCCTGGGCGGGGGTGGGCAGTGTGCACCTGGACCCCCCGGCACTGTTTTGAGAGCCCTGGCCCTCTGCGCTGGCCCCTGATGGCCTGTCCCCGCCTGCCTCTCTGTCTCTGCTCCCCTTCCACCTACAGATAGTGATCGTGCAGTTTGGAGGGAAGCCATTCAGCTGCTCTCCACTGCAGCTGGACCAGTGGATGTGGTGCATATTCATCGGGCTAGGAGAGCTCGTCTGGGGCCAGGTAGGTTCTGGGTGGGTTGCAGGAGGGAGGGTCCTCTCAGTGGAGAAAGCATAACAGCACCGGAAGGGGAATCCAGGAGCCCCAGGAATGGTTCCTGGCTCTGACGCGGACTCACTGCTTGACCCCAGACAAGGCCCTCCCTATCTCTGGGCGTCTGAGGAACGGGGGTTGGGTACCACCACTCTGATTTTTGTCTCACATCTATGTACCACTGCTCCTGTTATTTACTTAATATTTTCTTTCAACTGAATCAAGTTTTTTTAACTTAAACTTATTTCAAAAGGCAACATTACTAATATGACTGGAAATCAATATCACTTGTCATAAATAGAAGCTATCAAAAAAAAACTAACGCAATGAGAACAATGTTATTAAACTCTAGCTAGATGCCATGGCCTGCCAAGGCTCAGAGCCTGGAGCCAGCCTGTTGAAAATGGGGATTAGCGGTGGTGTGCTGGTGCTGATGGCCCGCTGGCTCCACGCCCGGTCCTTCAGAGGGCTCAGAGGGAACAGAAGAGGGATGAATGCTGCCACATTGCAGTGTTCCTTGGTGCTGTGCCTGTGGCCATCTGAGATCCTCCCAGGCTTTGGGGACCCCTGGGCTGGATGCTCTCTACAGACCTTCCCAGCTTTGACCCCAGAACATTCTCCCACCAGTTCCCTTCACTGTGTTTGCCCAAGTTCTAGGTGCGTGCATGCGCACACGCGTGCACAGTCATCACAGCTCTGACAGCTCGCAGCTCAAAGGCTCCTGACCCAGGACACGGTGCTTGGGAGAACTGCCCAGAGCCAATCCTGGGCCAGAGGGGCTTTATTCCCAAGGTGCTCGGACATCCAGGCTGTGGGGACCCCAACAGTCCTAAGACATTGTTCTTGCCTTCAGGCTGTCCCTAGGGTAGAGCGAGGAGCTACAGCAGCAAAAATTAATTAGAAAAGAAAGAAGAAAGTTTCATCCAAAAGGATCTTCTTTAAACTATGGAGCTTCTTTGGAGAGTTGATAAACTAGATTTGGCTTAGCAAACCCCTTCCCTGGGTACCCTTGGGGCCAGGCCATCTTGATCCCACAGGGGCCTACACTCTAAGGGAGCTCTCAGCACCTGAGGGGATGGTCTTGTAAGGACTAAGTTCGATGGGCAATGCTGACCTTGAACTCCCAGGGAATCCCTGAGGCTGAGTGTCCAGGCCAGCCCTTGTCTGTCCCTACAGGAGATGTAAGGGGCCTCTGACATCTGCCACCTCAGCTTCCCTACAGGGCCTGCCTCTCAGGCCTCAGCCACAGGGACAAGCCCTTTGGGGAAAGAGTGAGAACGAGGCACATCCCCTTCCCATACTGCCTTCCCAGTCTGGATTCGCTGAGCCCATGTTCCCCAGGCTTGGGTACCTTGGGGTCCAATGACCTCAGGGAACGAGCCCAAGAGGCCTTAATCCTCACGACTCCCAGAACTGCCCCCAGCTTTACAGCTCAGAGAGGTTAAATGAATTGTTCCAGGCCACACAACCAGTATGGCCTGGGGTATTAAAAGTCACATCTGCCTACCTCCTGATGGCAAGATCTCCACTATGTCCCCCTGACTCTGGATGAGTGAGTGAATCAAAGAGTAAATTAGTAAGAAATTGGAAAAGATCGAGTTGAGGAATGGGTGGGATGGGTTAAGGAGTGAATTATGATGTGACTAAGTGAGTGGGTAAGGGGATGCCCAGGGAGGAAAGGCCAACCAGAGGGACAGCCCCACCGCCCCTGATGGGCTGGGTCCCTTGCAGGTCATCGCCACCATCCCAACCAGCCGGCTCAAGTTCCTGAAGGAGGCGGGCAGGCTCACGCAGAAGGAGGAGATCCCAGAGGAGGAGCTCAACGAGGATGTGGAAGAGATAGATCACGCCGAGAGAGAGCTGCGGCGGGGCCAGATCCTATGGTTCCGCGGCCTGAACCGGATCCAAACCCAGGTACAGGAAGCTCTCGGGGCTGGGCCCAGGCCTGGCCGGGGCGGGCCGGGTGATGGAGGTGAGTGTGCTCTGGCACCCCATGGTGGCTCTGATGCTGAGGGAGGGTGGCCACAGAGTGACCTGGCCTCAGGGGAGGGCCCCAGGTGGCTCTCGCCCCCTCGCCAGCCACCTGTACACCCACGTTCCTCACACACTCGTGGCTGCTGAAGAAACGGTGCAGCCTCCTCGGGAATGTTCATTGTGCCCTCTCAGCCTGGCAAAGGGTGGGAATGGGGGTCACACCCGCTGTGGTACCCAGGGGGGTTCTCCTGAGGGGTAAGGGGGGCTGGCTCTGAGGCCAAGGTGAGGGAGGGGCTGTGGCTCAGGGCTGGGGGGCAGCCACCAGGAGGGGCAGTGCAGAGCTAGACGGCAGCTGCAGCCAGGGTCGCTCCGGTTCTCCCAGGGCCAGGCGAGGTGTGGGCCTTCACACATGCACACACATCCTGCGCCTCCACTGGGGGCTTCCCACCCTCCCCAGCCCCCCCCCCCAAGGGCACACAGATGCACACGGGCACACCCAGTACACGCCTGTCCAGCCAGAGGCAGGTTTCTTCCCCAGAGCAGAGAGCACATGGCAACCACGGGGCACATAACACACTGTGCAACCCCCCACCATACACGCACACACACACCCAGGCCACATGCTCTCACACGGGCCTTTCTGCCCAGATCAGGTGTTGCAGTTTACGGGTGCTGTCACAGCCCTGGGAGGTGATGAAACCAAGACAAAGTGGGTCTCTTGCCCAGACCACCTGGGGAGCTGGAGCTGGGAACTTCATCCCCACGCCCCACCCCACCCCATCCCACTCTGGAAAGTGTTGCAAAGAGCTGCCCACCTCGCCTCAGTCCCGTCCACTGGGGGCTTCCCCCCCTCCCCAGCCCCCCCCCCCAAGGGCACACAGATGCACACGGGCACACCCAGTACACGCCTGTCCAGCCAGAGGCAGGTTTCTTCCCCAGAGCAGAGAGCACATGGCAACCACGGGGCACATAACACACTGTGCAACCCCCCACCATACACGCACACACACACCCAGGCCACATGCTCTCACATGGGCCTTTCTGCCCAGATCAGGTGTTGTAGTTTACGGGTGCTGTCACAGCCCTGGGAGGTGATGAAACCAAGACAAAGTGGGTCTCTTGCCCAGACCACCTGGGGAGCTGGAGCTGGGAACTTCATCCCCACGCCCCACCCCACCCCATCCCACTCTGGAAAGTGTTGCAAAGAGCTGCCCACCTCGCCTCAGTCCCGCCTGGTGTGGACCAGCTTTCATCTCTGTCCCATGTAGCAATAGCTCCCTTGGGCTGCTGCACACCCCACAGTGCCCTGTCCCAAACCTCATCTCATGTGACCTTCACAGCCCCTGAGAGGTAGGTATGATTCCCCCAGTGTTAGAGTCACTGAGGTCCAGGAGCTGACCCTTCTTGCTGAGCTGGCACAGCTGGGGTGGGGATGGGGAGCAGGATTCAGGGCCGGAACTGCCTGACACAGGCCTGGGCTCTCTTCCCCTGCCCAGCACCCTGGCAGCCAGCCCTCCCGCCTGGCTCCTTCCTGGGAAGGCCAGGGCAGTTCTCAGTGCATATGGCCCTGGCACTGTCACTGCCCTGGCAGCAAAGCCATTCAGGGGTCTCCAGATTTCGTGAGGAAGCAAAAACTGTCGTTCTTGAGTGAGCACCTGTGCTTATCTTGCATGTCTCGTACTGAGCACTGACATGGGCCAGGGGCTTTGCCATTTACAGATTACCCTGTCAGGTAGGGGGCATTGCCCCTTCTTCAGGACAAGAAGCTGGACTCAGATGACTTTCATAAGGTCACCTAGCTAGGAAGTGACAGAGCCAGAATTTGGGCCAAGGTCTGTCCACCCCAGGGCCCCCACTGCACTCTGACTCACCACCTGGCCCTGAGGGAGGCTGAGCACCCACTCTCTTCCCCTTCAAATGCCGTGTTTAGTCGCCGCCCCCCGCCTCCAGCCTCGGCCCAGCCCACTGGCCCCTGAGCATGAAAAAGCCCAGACCCCTGTGTCCTCCCTGGGACCCTGGGGCCTACAGAGGGCCCGAAGCTGAGCAGATATCTTTCAGAGCCTTGAAGTGTGTCTGGTATTTTTTGTTTTGATTTAAGTGACATTGTCGCTGTTGCCGTGGCTGCGGCTGTTATCATGACGTTGCGCCTGTCAGTCGTGTAGCTGTTGTGTTCGTTCTTCTCGCAACTTGTCTCGTTCTCTCCTCCGTTGCAGATTGAAGTAGTCAATACTTTCAAGAGCGGGGCCTCCTTTCAGGGGGCCCTGCGGAGACAGTCCTCCGTCACCAGCCAGAGCCAGGACGTAGCCAATCTCTCTAGCCCTAGTCGCGTGTCGTTGTCCAATGCTCTTTCCTCTCCGACCAGCCTTCCTCCTGCTGCAGCTGGGCGTGAGTGTGACTCCTTACCGCTCCAGCTGGCGCCACCAACGCCAGCTCCCGGGCGGGCAGGCGGGCAGGTGGGCAGGGGCTGGGGTACCAGAGGATATGGTGGGCAGCAGTCACTCTTAGGCCCAGTAGGCTGAAGGGTCAGAGCCATTGAGGAGGGTCCCAGTTGGTCAGAACATCACAGCCAGTAACAGGGGGACAGTCACTCGGTGAGCCAGGGTCAGCTGGGGTCAGGGTCAGGGGCTACAACCAGTCAGTCAGAGGGCTCTAAGGGTCACAACTGGTCAAAAAGTCTGGGTCTGTCAAGAGATCACCTTCGATCAAGTGGGTTTCTTTCAGTGATCAAATGGTCCCAAACCACTACAGGGTCCCAGTGGCCAAAGGGGAGCAGGCACTGAGGGGGGCACAGACTGTCCCATCGGTCTAGGTTCATACTTGGTCAGGGGAAGCCTGGCCCATGAGAGCAAGTGTCAGAGTTGGCCAGGAGGTTGCAATCTTGCAGTCAAAGTCAGGTGAAGGGTTACTGTGGGTCAAGTGGTAACAACCCCTCAGGGGTCACGGTGGAGTCCAACCAAGAGAACACATCATCTGGGGTTTCTCATCTGGTCAGGGAGCATCAGTCAGCAGTGACAGTCACGGTCAAGGGGGATGGTTGAGCCAAGAGGTCTCTGCTGGTCAGAGGTCACAGTCATTCTTTTTTTTTTTTTTTTTAAACTGGGGCAGAGGGCAGACAGACAAAAAGATGGCCTCTGCATGCCATCAGTTGTAGAGGTCACAGTCATTCAGGGGTCCCAGGGCACTGAGGAGATCACAGCCTGGAGATCCTCCTCCCAGCAGTTCAGGATCTCTGCCTCTCCCTGCTGCTCCTCCAGTGCATATCTGATGGCATCAGCTGCCTGACAAACACTTTTCCATGCAGCTGAGGTTGGAACCCGCTGAAGTTCTGACCCTTTCCTGGAAGGGACAAGTCTCCTGATCCATTCAGCTTAACCTTGGATAGGAAATGGTGGGTCGAGTCTAATGTCTTGGCTGCATGCCAGCAGCCCGAGGGAGCTGGTCTAACCTTTGGCGTCCTGCCCTTCTGTGTCTGAGGGACAGCCTGGGACGCTGGCCCCTCCTTCACCTCCCTCCTGCCAAGCTCCCTTCTTCCTGCCACACTCATGACCTGGGCCTCTCATCTCTGGCCTTGTCTAGATCTGGCCTGGGCCTCTGCATATTTACCACCTGCCTCTCTTGCTTTGCCTCCAGTCAAGCTGTCCTAAACCACAAGGGAGCCCCTAGTTCTGGTCTTCTCAGATTGACACAGTGTGTTCGTTATCTTAGCCAGCCTTCAACTTCTTCAATGAGGAGACTCCAGGCCTCACCTGTTGATACTTTATGAAGTGTCCCTTTATACCCTCACCCACAATGCACATCCCCTGCCACTGAACAGGAGAGGACCCGTGTGCTGGGTGGGAGCTATTCCTTCGTAGCCCTCTCGCAGAGGCACAGACCACAAAGAGCCTGTTGATGACATTTGCTTATGTCCCATGACGTTTCTTTGGACACAGTCCTGCCCAGTACATAAGATGACAGAAAGGATGCAGAAAAGGGGGTGGGAGGTAAGGGGGTCCGTGTTTGTTCATTAGCACAAAACATAGTGATGGGGAGGCCAGATGAGCCAATGTGACGGGGAGATGTATTTGAGCAGATGGTGTCTGAGGCACATTTCCATGAGGTACTGTCACTAGGAAATCAGTGCTGGGATTTCTCAGGACATGAGACACTTTGGTCCCATCCTCCTCCCGCTTCAGACCTGAGACCCTAACCTTGGTGGGTGGCCCTAACCCAGCTGACCTTCCCACTCCTTTTACTCCCGAATCAGCTTAGCTCCGGCTTGCTTAGCACCGCCACCTGTCCCAGTGCAGTGACCAAGTGTTCCCACATGTAGACTACCTGAAGAAGAACCCACTTCTTTTGGTTCCTGCCACCCCTGCCGGTGACTCCTGCATCCCTCTGGCTGGGTCTGACTGCCAGGAGCCTGGCTTCTGGGTACAAGCTCCATTCTCTGTCCATCCTGGCTCAGCCTCTTCCTTGAAGCACAGCACTTCACACACTGGCCACGACCAAGCTCCTGTGACATTCCTGGGCGCCCACGTAGCCTTTGAATGTCTCCTCTGGGCTTAGCCCCTCATCTTGGCTTCACAATCTAGAAGAAAGAGCCATCCCCTCAGGCCTGGCAGCTTCATCCTCCACTTGCCTTTTGTAAAACCTTTCAACAAGGCCAGTCCTGGGACAACACCCCCTTCAGAGAAATGCCCGTTTATGCCCACCCTTCTCTTCCATCTCTAGGCCAAGCTCCCTCCAGGCCAGACCAATCTCTCTTTATCTCACAGTGGCCCACCTTTGGCACAGCCTTTGAAAAAGAGCCAAGGAAAGCTAACTTAATCCTTGTCCATGGCCCTTCATTCTCTCAGAGGACCCAGAGGGGCTATCAGGCACGACTCCCTCACCCAGCCACCATCTTTCCTCTCCCTGGTGTCATGCCTCCTGAAGAATCTCGCATTTCTACCCTCTGTTACAGAATCCAGCCTGTAATTCTAGGGCCCTTCCTTGGGCATGTGGTCTTGAAAAGAGCCTGACCAATCTCCTGCCCAAGGGCACTGGTTCCAAAAGGGAATCACCACTCCTGTGGTTTCAACATACACATTTTGGTCAACACAGTCACAATGCAAACTCTAAATAAATATCCCTTATCCTCCTTTGCTTGAATAGTTTCTATAACAGTGTTACCTCCTCTGGCCTCCAAGGACTCTGCAGATCTTCTAGATAATAGGCAAGGTCCCTTCAGAAGCCAAAATGCTTTCTTCCCACAGGGAGGTGTAAAGCTGGTGGCCAGGAAGGAGGGAGGGCCCCGACTGGACAGGTGGGCCGCCCCCCCACCACCTCTGAGCAGGATTTTGTTCCTGGGAATTCCCCAGCAGAGGAAGATGGTCATGTGCCTACTGAGGTCTGCCTGGGGCCTGTGTGCCCCGGAAGGAGTCAGACCTCTGTCCTCTGGGTTATCAAGAGCTGACCACAAAGGCCTGGGAGCAGGGTGTGGGTTTGGGCTGACTTCTGACCCATGACGTTGGGGGGACGAAAGTCCCCAACCATGTTATACACCCTCCCGCAGCACCGCTGTGATGCCAGGGTATTCAGGAGGGAATTCTAGCACACTCTCTTGCTTTTCTTCTCTGACTTACTCAAAACCGAGTTTGTTTCTCCCCCAGGAATTTAATGGCACATCCCTGATGCCTTCTCCTTGGGCCCCAGTCCACATTTCCAAAGCAGTGCCCCACTCCTCTTCCTTTGCATGTGCCTCACTACTGAACTGTGAGGACGGGGCATCTAGCAAGATATGTATTTAGGGGCCGGCCTGTGGCTCACTCGGTAGAGTGCAGTGCTGATAACACCAAGGCCACGGGTTCGGATCCCATATAGGGATGGCCAGTTCGCTCACTGGCTGAGCGGGGTGCTGACACCACCAAGTCAAGGGTTAAGATCCCCTTACCGGTCATCTTTAATAAAAAAAAAAAAAAAAAGATATGTATTTAGCAGAGAAAAACACTGACTTGGCCAAGCTCACACAGCAAGGGAGCGGCCCGAGGTCTGATCCAGAGTCCCTCATTTTTCCCACCACCTCCCACCACTTCCCAAACAGGCCCACAGACCTGGAGCCCACAGAGGTTGAACTTCCATTCCGGAACCAGTGCCCATGCCCACAGCCTTAATCAGCAAAAAGGAGCCAATCCTCCAGGGTTTAGAAGGCCAGGGAAGCTGTTTCTCTGCTTGAATTTCCACCAGCCTGACAGGGACTGGGAAGAAGGGCACCTTCCCGCTGCTGATCAAGCCGTATTAGCATTCGGCTCTTTAATCCCACGCCGAGCCACACAGCCTCTCTTTCTTACTTCCCTCCAGTTCCTCACCATCTTGTGTCAACTTTGTACTTAGCATGTCTGCAGCAGGCCCCTCTTTCATCATCAAAAGTCCTACTTCTTCAAAACACCTGAGCCAAGAGCAGCACCCTAGCCAGGCGCCAGCCACGGCGGGGATATCATACTGTACTAGGCAGATAGGGCAGCTCCTGCTGCCACTTGCCCTTCAGATCCTGATTCTGAGGACTGCTAGGGCAAGGAGTTGGCATTGTTAGGGGGGGAGAAATGAAGACAGTGAAAAGGAAAGAGAGCTGGACTTCTCAGCGTTTAGGTAACTAATTTAGTGCAGGCTTGGGTTGGAGAGAAAATGGCTTGCTTCTGGGGGGGAAGCCTGGACCTCTCCACTGTCTGAATATTCCATGTGTTTGTTTCCCTAGAGGGCTAGAGAACCCTGGACACAGAGTTCAGCAAGAGAGAGTGAAATTAAAAGAGGTTGTGAGTCTTTAACCTTGAGCCTGAAATGAATGTGAATCGGTCCCAGACTCTTGGCTTCCCTGAAGCCGGGTAAACATTCGAGTATGTCCAACCCACCTCAGACCAGGGCCCCTTCACTTCCTCGGAGCCCGCTGCCTTTGTGCAGAGGAAGCCAAAACTTCTGAAGTCCCACTGACTGGGTCCCTTTCTCTCTTTCCCCTCACGCCCATGCCCAAACGTGGCTTAGGCCAAAAGATCCGACCTTTAGGGTAGGCTGGGAGGGGGGATGGAAGAGCTTTTTTTTCTTCCCCTATTTTTTTCCATTTCAGCTGCAGAGAGAACCGAAGTGGAGACTTGAGATGGCCGTGGCGGGGTGTCCCGAAAAGTCTTGTCCCCACAGTCTTGTCCAGAGCAGTTCATTCTTTCTGTTGTCTCCATGCCAGGGGGAGGGCGAGGGGCCTCATCTCATTGTGTGTCATCCCCTCTGCGTTGCTGGTCACATGACAGGGTCCTGCCCTCTCCTCCACCCCCACCTCCCCCATTCACTAGATGTTCCAGCTGGCATCTTATTGCAATTCAGCCTCCGAACACACTGAGCACTTGGCTGGGCAGCTACAGTGATGGCTATTATTCCCATTTTACAGATGAGAAAAGAGGCCTGCAACACTTTTTTGTTATCACTTAATCAAGACGATAATTACCCATTTATCAGGCGGTCAGAATATTAATAATCTCTAGAGTCACAAATAGGGAATCCAGGGGGGAAGAAATCTCAGAGCAGCCAAAACGGCTCTCAGGGAGCAGCAGCACTAATGCACAGTGTCTGGCTGGCTCTTGCATGGGGCCTGTTGCCTCTTATTTAAGCATGATTCCAGCAAGTGGGGTTGCCTGGAGGCCCCAGCCCACAGCACATAAGGAGAAGGGACAGAAGTGCTTTTCAGAAGACAAGGAAAGTTCAGCTCTAACTGGTTAGTGGCAGCTGATAGCAAAGGAGAAAACAAAAGCCAAACTGTGGGGTCTTACACAAGACCATAAAGGAAGATCGACAAGCTTTAAGTTAAATCTTATCTGCGTACTCTAAATTTGAAGGCAGACGAGCATATGATTGCTTTAGAAAGACTCCCCTTGGAACCAGCAAAATAAACCCTCAGCTATGACACTTAAAATCATCACCACAGTCATCTAGAATATTCACTCCATGGAAGAGGACTTTCCCCACCAGTGCCCCACAACAGAGCTACCCTGGGTTTAGCTGGGAGCTCAAGTCCTGGGACTTCACGGGCCTCCCCACGACCGTCTCGTGCAGTCCTCTGCTTCCCCGCAGCAGGTGGTGTGGGGTGGCCACCGCTCTGTAGATGAGGCCTGCTACCCAGCCTCTGTGCCCCGGAGCCATCAGCACCGCCTTGTTTTCTTCCCCCCAGTCGGCTCCAGGTTGGGACTAGGAAGAGAGAAGGAGGCACCTTTGTCCTGAGTCCTGTTAGCCCCTTGAGATGACAGGCATGGCTTCCCCTCCCAGGAGTCCAGTGAAGGGACACCTCTCTTCCAAGTGAGGGTCCTGTCTCTCTGCACCCAGTGACGCAGGATAGAGGACAACCAGACAGGTAGTGTGGATTGCCCACAGTCAAAGAACCAGAAGTTGCAGAGCCAGGACTCAAACAGATCTTCCTGCCTCCAAGTCCAGTGCTGTTCCTACTAGCCTTGAGGACTCAATGACCAACCTCCTTCCGTTCCTCAGAGGAACAAGCTGTGGCCTCGGGACACGTGGTTCACAGCTGAAATGTGGAAAATCAAAGAACCTGCTGCTCTGTGGCTCGGTTCCACACATCCCCAGAATCACACCCGGGGCTGGGTTTGGCCATCATATTCTGGACTCATTTTTTGCTTTTGTGTTTTCTAAGCACAAATAAATAAACGAAATCCCCCAAGAAATAGGGGGCCCTGAAGCAAGCTCCAATGACTGGCCAAGGCTTTGAGTCTATACTCGAGTGTTTACCTCCCAAATGCATGAAGGAAAGAAACGCTGGGTACAAATGACCTCCGTTCACATCGTCCAGGCTTCCAAGTGTAGCTGTGTGTCTGTCTGTGTGCCGTGTGGTTCCCAACCCTGCCGTGGCATGCCCCCTGAATGTCATCAGTCTGCTGCGCCCATGCCTCCTGGCTGCCTCTGCTTTGCACCTCAGAAAGCCCTGGGTTGGCTTTGGTTTGCTTTGCTGCCTTTGGTTTGATGTTCCTGTTTTCCGTTTGGCCCTTGTGTGTCTTCTCTCATCCCAGCTCATCCAACCGTTTCTCCTTTCTGTTCACGACATGTAACCTGTTCCATGTTGTATGTGATGTTCCTGTTTTCCGTTTGGCCCTTGTGTGTCTTCTCTCATCCCAGCTCATCCAACCGTCTCTCCTTTCTGTTCACGACATGTAACCTGTTCCATGTTGTATAGTTTCTTAACTGTGTGTGGTTTTTTTAAGATTAATTTTTTTAAAATAGCCTCTCCTCTTTCCTACTTTATTCCCACCTGGCCCTACTCCCCTTCTGCATGGTCGAACCTCTGCTGTGAAGTTAACAAGGCTCAGTCTCTCACTAGGTCTGGGTGCCCGCTGGAGTGGACTATGCTTCCTTTAACCAGTTTCCCATCATCTCTTTGATGGTGCTTGATCATCCCTCCTGTCCTAATACTGTAGTTCCAACCATAACCAAAGCAATTAAAAAAACCAACTCATGGGTGCATATAACCTGAATCCCTCTTCCCTTTTTCCCCATCCTGTCAATGCTCATAACACCCAGCGACTGTGGATTCCAGCCACCCGCTGTGCCCTAACCCTCCTCCTGCCCACTCCTCCACCAAGTCCTCCAGAGCCTGCCTATCGGCCCGGGCAGTGCTCCTGACCCCTGTGCTTCCCTTGCAGATCCGCGTCGTGAAGGCGTTCCGTAGCTCTCTCTATGAAGGTTTAGAAAAGCCTGAGTCTCGAACCTCCATCCATAATTTCATGGCTCATCCTGAATTCCGGATCGAAGATTCACAGCCCCACATCCCCCTCATTGATGACACTGACCTGGAAGAAGATGCCGCGCTCAAGCAGAACTCGAGCCCGCCGTCCTCGCTCAACAAGAACAACAGCGCCATCGACAGCGGGATCAACCTGACGACCGACACAAGCAAATCAGCTACCTCTTCAAGTCCAGGGAGCCCCATCCACAGCCTGGAGACGTCGCTTTAGCTGAGGACCCTGCCACCACCCGCCTCCTGGGCACCCACCCATCCAGGCACCCAACTCACCCAAGCAGCAACGAGCAACAACAGGAAACCAAATACTGGAGAGAAAACCAACGTTTCCACCAACAGACCCTTTCTCTGGCTGCGATGCTGTTTGAACTCTTTTTCACTTTGAGGCAAGGGGCGGGATCTCCAACTGGGGCTTATGGGCATGAGCAGTTTTCCCAAAAGAAGCCCTTCCTGGCTCCCACCCAAACATGGACCAGCCATGCACCCGCCCGGCCACCACGTTCCCCGCATGAATGTACTGTACACTTTCAATCCTCCCCTTGTTTGGTTTTGGGGGGGCTGAGGAGGGGTTTTTTTGTTTGTTTGTTTTCTTAGGCGGGAACTGCAAACAGACTCTTTTCTGAGACTATTTATCCAATCCACTGGTCTGTGAGTTTTTGAAATGCTTGCACAGCATGGTCTCAGTTGTATAGATTAATTTAATAACTTTTTAAAACTGCAGAGCTTAACTCGCCTAGTAGAGTTGCAGCAATGGAACCGAAGAACTTCATAGACACTCACAAGGTTATATCCATTTATTTGTATCTATATTAACGTATACTTCTCCAAGACTGTATACGTCCATATAGATAGGTAGATATATATATAAATATATATACATGGATATATAAAGTTTCTTTGCCGGCATGTTGCCTTGTTTCTGCTTAAATTGCTCTATTTTAACTTATTTATGTCCTAAAAGGAGAATGTAATTTGTTTACAAACCTGTAGATAATGTATTTGGCTATTTGTATGGTTTAAGAACATTGGTGGCTGACATGCTATAAAAACAGCTCGGCCCAGCAGACACTTGCCCTGGATTGCATCTTTGATGTTTTATGATAGCCATGCTCTGATTTTTGCCTGCTAATTCCGTTCAATAATGTCACTACCATGGGAGGCTCAGGCAGAAGCCAAATGCTACCAAGTGTCTATCCTGATGGGTCTAACAACGTGCTCCGTAGACGAAGGGAGAGGAGGAGAGAAGGCTTCCTGGGTTTGCAACACTAACAGCCATCCTGGCCCAAGATGCCAGGATCTGCAAAGCAGATTTTTCTCTCAATGAAACTCACTTGAGTTTACTAAGAGCATTTCAAAAACAGGTTCTCTTTGGCGCTGTCTGTATAGAGATTGAGGTAGTGTTGAATCATTATAAATGCTACTGTGTTGACTTTTTTTTAGTTAGTAATTTAGACGTTTATTTCTTTATAAATTGCAGCATTAGAGCTATTGGCATATTGGATGAGGATTGTTATGGCTTGCTGCTTTTATTTTTGTTTTTAAAGAAGAATAGCCTTTTTCTCTGCACTATTTAGATCCGAATGAACCTTACAATATGTATATTGAGATGTATTGTGTGATTTTAAACCAAATTGTCTTCCTGTAGTCATAATATATACTGTAGCCTTCTAACAGCAAGTCTTGCTTTCCTCAACAGAAAGCCATTCTAAAACTCTACAGTATCACAGGTGAGAAAAGGTGGTTATTTTTCCCCCAAGACAATAACAACACTATTAATCCCACTTAATAAGAGCTTATTTAATTGTATGTCAGCCTCTTAACTGCTAAGCACTTTGTGGGTCTCAGCTTTTTTCATAAAAGAACTTTTGTATTTAATACAAAGTTTGCTTTGAGACTTTTCAGCATACGATCTTTTTCCATAAACTTGTACAGTACAAAAGACATTTTGAATACCATGATCGATGATGTTCCATGCTTCGAGGAAAACCAAACACTTTCCACCTCGCTTGCAAAGTCCATTCCTCATGCTGACCTTTCCCACAGCTGCTGTGTCAGCCTGGCCCCTTTCCTTCTCCAGGCCCAGAGAACTTTTCCACAAACAATATGAGAGCCACTTGGGAAAAGAGCCATAGTCAGCTGGAAGAGCCTATGTCTGGATGGCTGTGGAAAAACTTGAGGGTTTGGGGTTCAAAGTCAGCCCATCCCACCTGGCAAAATCTTTCTGTAAGAAGGACCTTCTTTTCGAGAGAGCTGCACCTGAAATGTCATGAAGAAATATTCCTGAATGTATCTAGCAGAGGAAACTGCATACCCAAAGGGGTCACCAGCCCTCAGATGTGCTTATTGGATTCCAGTACAAACACCACAAAAGCCAGCCCACTGCTCTCCGAGGAAGGAAAGACCTGCACGTGTAAAGCATGGGGCAGCCTTGGAACATGGTGTTTTTTGGAGTTTCCTTTCTCATGGTTTTCCATCTTCCCCTTCTTTGTTCATTCGTGTGTCCATGACCTCATTCCATGACATCAGGAGAGTTCTGCTTGCAGACCGTGCTCCCTGTTCATCTGGAGACAGGACACAGGGAAAACAGGAGGGGTTCTGAGTGGAGCTTAGCCTGGGGAGTAGGGAGTAAAGGGTGCCTGACGGTCGTGTTGGCCTTTTCTGTCAGGAATGGTGGCTGTTTACACACTCACACCCCTCACTCTCACACACAGCCACACACACAGGAAAAGATTGGTTTGTCAAAACTCACATAGTACATAAAGCTTGCAATTCTGCGTCCTATATCTAGCAGCATGGGGTACGTTTGGCAGTTCATCCCAATAGGGGGTAAATAATTTATGACCATTCATCTGTTTTTATGAATTTTTTTATCTAGACAGTAATTGTAAATAAAAAACTCACCATCTCTGTTCATTTAATACTATGCAATGCTTATGCTTTCAATTGCTGACTCTTCTGATTCCCACAGTGTGGTTCCAAAATGTCTGTGGTTTTGAAAAAAAAGCAACATCAAACAGAACACAGTAAATATATGTTCTGTAACATATACTTTTTTCTAGTCTGGGACTCCACCATCCACTTAGCTGCTTTTCTGTCCTCTGGACAAGGGCCCCAGAAAAACATAGCTGATCCAGTTCTGAGGTCTAAGCTCACTAACTTTTCTCCCCCCCCCCCCACCG